CTCCGGCAGCCAGTCGACTGAAGGGAGCGCGGAGCGGCAGACGTGCTGATAGTTGTAGGTCCGCTCGGCTCCGTCGAGACGCGAAACACGAACACGATCGTAGTGAAAAGTTCAAGTGTCGCTCTGGATACCTGGATAACCGCCATCGACGCTGAACCGCAAAACTGGATTACGTGACTGGAACTGTGTGACCCGGCAGACATTTCGGGATACTTTCGCACCACACTCGCCGGTTTCGGAATTTTCGCGAAAAAGTGGTGTTTTCACGCTGGACTTGTGATTCATCGCGTGACTCTCTTCTGTGGATTAAAGTGACATCTGTGTCCCATCAGCGAAACATGGAATTATCGCTTGGGAATAGTGCAGTGAATTTCTTCGAAAGTTTATTTCGTTGAAATAAGTGTGGATACTCGACATGGTGAAATGAAGAGATAGTGCATTTAGTTCTTAGACGACATTACCAGTCGTGCAGGATACAGAGTGCTCATAAGTGCCATGTAACGAGTCTAAACAAGTGTGTGCTTTAGTTTCTTTTTTGTTTCTGTTATTTTTCATTTTTTTTTGAAAAATATCTCCACTTTTCCGTCAAGTGATTGGAAAGTGTTGGAAAAATTGCGACTCCCGACCACGAAGCAGCAAGAGTGAAGTGAAATGCAGCAGTGCCGCACCTCCTTCTCCAACTTGTGCTGAGAATGGGTTTCGCCATGGGTGCGTGTGCCGCACAGTGTGCGCTGCTGGCCGGCGCGCTGCTGGTGCTGGCCGCCAGCCCCGGGCTCGCCCGCCACGACGCGCCCGACGACTGCTCCTGGGCGGCCGACAACTCCTCCAAGGGCGTCGTCAGCTGTCGCGTCCGCAAGCTGGACGGCGAGGCCACCAACCTGAGCGCGCTGCAGCCCGAGTCCACGTCCCGCCTGCACGTCCACTGCAGCGACGTGCTGCTCTTCGAGTCCTCGGTGCCGCCGCACTTCTTCCAGCGGCTCTCGCTGCTGGAGGAGCTCACCATCGACAACTGCAAGATCCTGGAGCTGCCGAGCGGCGCGTTCGAGGGCCTCGCCGCCCTCAAGCACCTCAGCGTGTCCACGCACAACGTCGAGTGGGGGTCCGGGAAGTCGCTGGAGCTGGACTCCGGCAGCCTGGACGGGCTCAAGGAGCTGCAGGTCCTGGACCTGGTGCACAACAACATCCGCGCCCTGCCCGACGACGCGTTCTGCTCTCTCGCCAACCTGCAGACGCTCAATCTGTCTCGAAACCACCTCCGCGACTTCGACAAGCTGGGCTTCGCGCCGCGCCGGCTCCGCGAGGTGCTGCTCGGCAGCGGCGACTGCAGCGGCGGCGCCGAGGTGCGCGCGCTCGACTTGTCCTTCAACCACCTCCCCGCCCTGGGCGCCGCCTCGGGCCTCAACCGCCTGCGCCGCCTGCAGCACCTCCACCTGCAGCACAACGACATCGCCGACGTGGCCGGCGACGCGTTCAAGGGTCTGACTGCGCTCAAAGTGGTCAACATGTCATACAACCGGCTGAGCACGCTCAACGAGGGCCTGTTCGCGTCGTCGCGCGAGCTAAGCGAAGTCTACCTGCAGAACAACTCGCTGGCCGAGCTGCCGCGCGGCCTGTTCCACCGCCTGGAGCAGCTCGTCGTCCTGGACCTGTCCAGGAACCTGCTGACGAGCGCCGCCGTCAACGAGAGCACCTTCGCCGGACTCATCCGGCTCATCGTGCTCAACTTGGCGCACAACTCGCTCACGCACATCGACGAGCGCACCTTCAAGGAGCTGTACTTCCTGCAAATCCTTGACCTGCGCAACAACTCGATCAGCCACATCGCTGACAACGCCTTCATGTCGCTGTACAACCTGCACACCCTCAACCTGGCCGAGAACCGCCTGCACTCCATCAGCGCACAGCTGTTCAACGGCCTGTTCGTGCTGAGCAAGCTCACGCTCGGCAACAACATGGTGGCCAACATCGACGTGCTCGCGTTCCGCAACTGCTCCGACCTCAAGGACCTGGACCTCAGCTCCAACGCGCTGCAGGCCGTGCCCGACGCGCTGCACGAGCTCTCTTTCCTGAAGACGCTCGACTTGGGCGAGAACCAAATCACCACCTTTAAGAACGGCTCCTTCAAGGGGCTGTCGCAGCTCAACGGCCTGCGGCTCATCGACAACCAGATCGGCAACCTGACGAAGGGCATGTTCTGGGACCTGGACAGCCTGCAGGTACTCAACCTGGCCAAGAACAAGATCCAGTCGATTGAGCGGGGCACCTTCGACCGCAACCTGCAGATCGAGGCCATCCGCCTGGACGGCAACTATTTGGTGGACATCAACGGCGTGTTCCTGACCCTGGCCAGTCTGCTGTGGCTGAATCTCAGTGATAACCATCTAGTGTGGTTTGACTACGCCTTCGTGCCGCCCAACCTCAAATGGTTAGACATTCACGGAAACTACATTGAGAAGCTGGGCAACTACTACGAGTTGCAGGAAGAGCTGCACATCAAAACTTTGGACGCGAGTCACAACCGCATCAAAGAAATCTCGCCAATGGCGATCCCCAACAGTGCCGAGCTCGTGTTCATCAACAACAACCTCATCTCCAAGGTGGCCGTGAGTACCTTCCTGGGCAAGACTAACCTTGCGCGCGTGGACATGTACTCCAACGAGCTGACCAAGTTAGACATCAACGCCATCAGACTGTCCCCCTGGCCGGCCAACAAGACGCTGCCCGAGTTCTACTTGGGCGGCAACCCTTTCTTCTGCGACTGCTCCATGGAGTGGCTGCAGATGATCAACAACATGACCCACATGAGGCAGCACCCGCGCGTCATGGACCTGGACAACGTCATGTGCCGCATGCAGAACCTGCGCGGCCGGCAGCACATCGCCGCCACCGAGGCGCGCGGCTCCAACTTCTTGTGCACCTACGAGACGCACTGCTTCGCCCTGTGCCACTGCTGCGACTTTGACGCGTGCGACTGCGAGATGACGTGCCCCCAGAACTGCTCGTGCTATCACGACCAGGCCTGGACCACCAACGTGGTGGACTGCTCGCGGCAGGGCTCGGACCAGATCCCCCGGCGGATCCCGATGGACGCCACCGAAGTCTACCTGGACGGCAACAACCTCAAGGAGCTCCAGAACCACGTCTTCATCGGGCGGAAAAACATGCGGGTGCTGTTCGTCAACTCGAGTCGCATCGAGAGCATCCAGAACCGCACGTTCAACGGCCTCAACGCCCTCGAGATACTGCACCTCGAGGACAACCAGCTGGGCGAGCTGAAGGGTTACGAGTTCGAACACTTGGCGCACCTGCGCGAACTGTACCTGCAGAACAATGCGATCGGTCACATCGGCAACACCACCTTCTCGTCACTGCGCTCCCTGGAGATCCTGCGCCTAGACGGCAACCACCTGCACAGCTTCCCTGTGTGGCAGCTGTCACTCAACTCGTACCTGGTCGAAGTGTCCCTGGGCAACAACCACTGGTCCTGCCGCTGCAAGTTCCTGCAGGAGCTGCAGGTGTGGGTGGGCGACAACGCGCAGAAGGTGATCGACGCCACTGACATATACTGCTACGTCAACGACACCAAGCCGCCCCAGAAGCGCGAGGTCGACCTCAACAACACGGCCTGCAGCGACTACTACAGCGGCAGCTCCGTCATCCAGAGCATCATGGTGAGCGACTACCTGCCCATGATGATCGTCACCCTGTCCACCTTCCTGCTGCTCATCGTGGCCAGCCTGCTCATCTTCATCTTCCGGGACCCGATGCGCGTCTGGGTCTACTCCAAGTACGGCGTGCGGCTCTTCCACTTCAAGGCGGCGGCCGCCGGCAAGCTGGGCGGCGAGGACCGCGAGAAGCTGTACGACGGCTACGTCATCTACTCGCCCAAGGACGAGGAGTTCGTCCTGCAGTCCATCGTGGCCGAGCTGGAGCACGGCAACCCGTCCTTCCAGCTGTGTCTGCACTACCGCGACCTGCCGCACCAGGTGCACTCGTACATGCAGAACACGTCCCCGGTCGTGGTCGAGGCCGCCGAGGCCTCCCGCCGCGTCATCCTCGTCCTGTCGAGGAACTTCATGGAGACGGAGTGGTCGCGGTTCGAGTTCCGCCAGGCCATCCACGAGGCCCTCAAGGGCCGCATCTTCAAGCTGGTGCTCGTCGAGGACGGCAGCTGCATCCACGAGGCCGAAGGCGACCTCGACCTGCGGCCGTACCTCAAGACGGGCGCCCGAGTGCGCTGGGGTGAGAAGAGGTTCTGGGAGCGGCTGAGGTACGCCATGCCCTCCGGGGACTCGCACCGGAAGAGCAACTCCAACTACAGGCGGAATATCAACACATACAGCCTGGAGTCGACGGGGAACAACCACCACGTCGTCAACCATCATGTGGTCAACGACCACCACGGCTACACCATCGAGAAGGCCGTGAAGCAGCCGCACCCCGCCATGCACATCAACAGCCATCCGCTGTTCCTGGCGGCGGCCGCCAACAACCACCACCACCACCACGACAACAACCTCGTGCCGCCCGCCTACACGTCCGGGAACACCCTGACGAGGACGAGCGGCCGGCACCAGCGGCCCGCGGCCCCCCTGGGCGGCGCCGCGGACTGTGAGGACGCCAACTACTCGTCGGCGGCCACGGCCACGCCCTCGCCGAGGCCATTGAACCGGCATCAGAACGGGTCCGTGCACCGAGAGTCGCCGTCGCCCAACACCAGGCCGACGTCCGAGCACATCTACTCGTCCATCGACTCGGACTACCCCACCTTCGAGCGGGCCGGGTCGCGGCGGCAGGCCAACGGCGGCCCGGCCAGCGCGGCCCCAGTGGGCGGGGTCCCCCTCCCCGGAGTGCACCGCCCACCCTGGAGGACGGCCGGGGCCAGTGTGGTGGAGAACGGCGGCGTGCAGGCCTACCTGGTCTGATGAAGCCCCAACGTGATAGTGGCCAGTGATAATATTTGTTATAATTTCGTTGTTGTAAAGTGAAAAAATACTTGTGAGAGTGTATAAAGTGAGTGCAAGTGTGTGAGTGTTCGCGCGTGGAGAATTGCCAGTCGTCTGTCGGACTAACCACACCAGAGCTCCATTCAATTAAAAGGTGAGAACTTTTCCCTTTAAAGCAGTTCCTACTGATTTCAAAACGAGTTCAGAAAACAATTATTTCTTGCTGGTCAGCCAATGATTTGGTTACGGCCATGGTTTAGTTAAAGTCATTACAAGCTTCAGAATTGTCTAATAATAGCTTCTTTCGCGTGTGAAAAATGAATAAAAAATCAGCTTAATTTTTATTGTTCCAATTCTTATTTAAATTTGTTGTAACCAGTTGATTTTGCTTGCAATTCCAAGTCTATTCATACTGTATTGTATACAGTCTGTTGTATTATTTAATTGGTAACCATGGTTTTGGGGCGTTGTCCATTGTCTACGGTTAGTTATTTGACTGGATCGATTGGACAAAAATAAGTACTGATGTCCTCTATCGTGTGCATAAACTGACTGAAAGGTGCTTTTGTAAGATATATAGTTGTACAAATGTAAATACTGTGTAAATCTTGTAAAAATGTATAGAAGCTCTCTATGAAATGCCGTAGACAATGGACAAAGCCTTGCTTTAAGTACCAAACTCTGATAGAGTGATGTAGCGTGAGCTAGGCTGTACCGCTACATTATTTGGACTGACTGCCGCTGTTTCGCGGATGAGTTAATATGTTTTCCAAGCCATGCCTAGGCCTACTTAAGTTGATAATTTGTAATCAGGCCAATGATATGTGTTATCAAAACGAAATGCAGCCAAACGTATGTAGTCAGTTTAGTCATTGGCTATGCGGTGCGAACGCCTCTGTCCAAGACGCAAACGTTAGTTAATTCCATTTACCAAAGGAGCAGCCACGCAGATTTCACGTTTCGATATCACTTTGCCGCACGATAACAAGCCTCTAATTACCTTTCGATTTCCCTCCCTTGATTCTCGGAACGCGACTCCCCGGCATTTCCATTTTTATTACGGGCGACTCGTTAAATTGTCAATTGCGAGAGTTATTCGGCCGCGGCTCTCGCTAAAGAGCCGATAAGCGCACTGCTGCCGACATGACGGCTCGCAACTACAAATACAAAACCGATAGCCATCTGGATTGCATTGAATAACACAATCAAAATTCAAAACAGTGCGTCTCGTTTAATTTAAGCCAGCCAAGGCCGAAATGAGCGGCGGGAAGGCGCGGCGGCGCAGTAGAGTTTGGAGAAATATAAAAAGGAAAGAATATTAAGTCGAGAAAGAGGAACAGGGAGAAGGAGAGAGAACAAGACGTCCTCTGGGCCCCTCTCGGCTCGCCTCTCGGCCCGGTCGGAATGCCTGGCCGGACCCAGCCCTGCCTATAAGGCTGCCAGGTAGTAGCAGCACTCAACCAAATTATTCGTTTCACATCAACAGCAGCCGCGGCAGTGGTGGGAGGCCAGTTGATGCGCCTTGCAGCGTTCCGGCCGACGCAATCAGAGCGAGTGTGCGAGAGAGACGGGCTGCTCAGAGTCCCTCTCCCTCGCACACGAGCGCGCGCGATGTCCGGCAAGCCGGTGCCCGAGGCTGTCTTGGGAAACAGCCCGAGCTGTGTCTCTCATTACTAAGAGAGAGAGGGAGAGTCCGTCCGGACGCAGCTCAGCTCCCTAGCCGCGCCTCGGGGCCGAGCACGCGAAATGGAGTTTATAGTTAAAGTTTTCGTATTATATCCCACCGCCGCCGACGTACCTGACCCATATATCATTACATTCTTTAACCCATACTCTCCTGCGCACCTTTATCCTTATCGATCGGCTCCCATTGTTGTGTCATCTTTTCACTCCCTGATGCTTTTCCGTAAACGCGGGGGACATTAGACTCCGCCCATTGTGGTCAGCAGCGACTCCTCAGGCTGACCCGTTCCGAGAACCAAGGCCGCGTCCGGAAACGATTCCCATCTCTGTCCCTCTCGTTGGTTTTGCAATGAGTGGGAGAGAGACAGGGCTCTTGCGCTCAAACGCCACCCAGTCAGGGTGTCCAAGACGCGCGCTCTGCAGGAGGGTTAGGTGTTACTCGTGGCTGCTTCTCCAAAAACGTTGTGTTGACATTTGTGATATGTAGTCCCTGTTCAAAGTAATGCGTTTGCTATCTTAAGTCAAATATTGGCTGCATTTATTTTAGGATAGACTACAGAATTTCTGAAACCATTGACAGAGGCATTCGGACAGCAAGGTCGTACGTTGCCAAACAGAAAATATTTCTGTATGTTTGTGATCTAGGTTATAATGTTTCGAGTCTGAAATACGGCTCATTTTTGTTGTAGATGTTTTTGCTGCATTTCATTTTATATATTTGGCTAACATGCTTCTAAAAGTTATCTTTTGTTAATTTTCTTTGGTATTGATTGAAACTGTACCAAGTCTGTACCGAGCCAAAAGGACTTAAAAAATAAGACTTAGGCCCTGAGCCAATTAAGAATGAAAAAAATTGTTCCAGTCTTTTGTTCTCGAGGGATTACTTGGCCTGTTTAAAAAGTCATTGCACTGATGTGAATGGGAAAGAAGGCACCAGTGAATCCGTTTGTGATTCACTGCAATTGATCTAGCCATAAACGCTTTTATGTTATAACCGCCATGTCTTTGTTAGGATGTCAATTTTTATAGTTATACCAACGTCGAACTAAAAATATTGTGTGTTCACCATGTGCTGGGTTAGAAATGTAAAATCTTGGCCTTGTGAAACCGTGAAAAAATTTTCACTGAGTAAATTTTGTGCATCCCTTCATGACATGCCAGCTATCTGTGATATTTAGTGCTAGTATTTATTATTGAAAACAATTTGTTTCTATTGTATTTAGTGTACATTTTTGTAAAAACAAATATATGATATGCAAGCTATGGTTAAGAGTCTGGATCCTAATTTTTGTAACATGTACCACAGAGGATTTAATAAAATGCTGAGTGTTCACATTTGAAAATCTTTAGTTATACTTTCAAACCACATTACCTTTAAAAATTAAAACAACAAAAGAATAAAAATAATCAAAGAACGAAAAAGGAAAAGTTAAGAGAAACATGACACAAGTATAAAGTATATCATTGTAAATCGAATAAAATCACACCAGATCACGACGAGGTGTCTCGCTTAGTAAACATCAAATAGTAAAAGATCCGTATTCGGTTGCACACGGTGGACAACAAGTGTGCTGACCTATGCGCCAACACGGAGAGCCACCATTGAATCAGGACCTGGGCCCCAACAAAGGCAAGCTGGGTGTGAAACACTAAGTAAGGGAGACCAGAGCTACACCATTCCGAGAAAGACTGCAAGACGGCGCATCATATGTCATGGGGGAGGGAGAAGAAAGATGGGGCCGCCGTGGAGTCAGACAAGGACGGACAGCGAGGGGAGGGGAGGAGGTGGGAAAGAACGGCCGGGGAGAGAGAGAGAGAGCCGTGGACGGGAAAGACGGAGCGAGGGCGGGGTGGGAGGGGAGGAGAGAGACCTCAGGAGGGGAAGGACAAGAAAAGAAGGAGAACAGAGACCACATGCAGCTTGGAGCCGTGCAGGGGCAGCCCGGCGTTGCTTGTAACGTCCACTGTCAAACTGTTTCCCACAGAAAATGGTACGTTTTCCCCTCCGGTAGGAAGAAACTTTCAACGTTGAAACACCACAACGCTGAGTTACCTTCTTGGAAGGCAGAAAAGAGAGATGGTTCCAGTCAGGCTGTGCAGATTCAAGACTGAAAATGAGGCAAGTATTTGAGGACAGGTACAGTATTTATCAACTTTCTTCTTCTCTAATTTACCAACCTAGTCTCCAACGTTACCCGAATACATAACAATGATTTGAGTCAGTCCTGGGGCTTCCATTCCATATACATAAAGTGTTTTTGAAAGGCAAGAAAAAATAAATGAATAGTATTCCATTACCTCACCTCTCTCTAAACATCTTGTGAGTTACCTACTTTTGGACACAGACCGACCCCAAAAAGATGCTGGTAGGATAAAGAATATCCCTCCTCTCCGTGTATCATGAGTTACGTGACACCCTATACTCAGCGGGAGGCAAACCATCACAAAGACTTCGCTCCACATTCTCCTCTCTTCGTTTTGGTCGCCATTCTTCTTGTTTTTCTTTTCTCCTCCTTGTGGGATAGGCTGTGCGGTCGAATGGCGGGTCGGGCGTTGTGCTTCTGATTCTGTGACCATCGTGTAATAGCTTGAAATTTCCAATAATATGGTTTAATTTCTTTTCAAAAAAACACAACTTTTTTTTAACTTTTATGATACGCCAAGCTCCAGCATGTGCGAAAGGGCGAGGCTGCTGGATTGGGGGCCACTGTATACTGCTGCCTTCGGTTCCCTTCCCCAGCCGGCGGCACCAGTGCGGCAGGGGCACGGGGAGAGTAATTGCATGAAACCTATCGCCCGCGATACATATCTAGCTCCGCACGCCCCCGGGCCGGGACCATGGCGGCAGGGTGGCGGCCTAGGACGCGGCTCGTCCCCGAGGTCCCCGAGCTGCGAGCTCTTTTCTTTCTCTAAAAATGGCCAAATTGACATCGTGAAATAAAAACAAAATTACATTTGACGCGGTGCGAAAAAGTGCGGACGCTTTTAGCTGTGTGCGGCCGGCCAGACATTCGCAGCAGAATGTGTATGTGTTTGTGTGTGTGTGTGAGAGAGAGAGATGGGGGAGGGGGGGCGTCGGCTGAGCGGGATGGGCCACAAGAGGGGGGCTGGGGGGAAAATGCGCCCCGGAGCGATCGAACCAAACCCACGAGCCAGCAGGTAGTCCAGTAATGGGCGCATTTCGATGCAAACGGATTAGCCATGCAGACAACCACCAGACCCTGGGCACTATGAAAGAGCGAGAGAGAAGCGACAGACACGGGATGAGCAGAGGGAGGGGGGAAGGAGGGGGGATCTGGTGCAAGGGGCAGAGCCAGAAGTGGGGCCGTGCACACGCGTGCGACACCGCGACGCACTGCCCTCGGACCGTCCAGTGACCGTCCCACGGTTTAATGAAGCAGGGATGAATAACGAAGGCCCGGGCCCGGAGGGCGCCGCGGCACGAGTTCGGCACGTGGCCAATCTAGTTTGTTACAAATTCAGCGTACGCCGCGCGTGCGTAGAGGAATCCGCGCGTGGAGAGGCAGAGTATGGCGGCGAGGAAATGCTTTTGCGAATTTACTATGCATCAACTCTGCCCCCCCCCCTTCGCCCTCTTCGCCTCCACCAATTCCCTTCTTTCACATCAGTTCGCCGCCGTCAGTCGGTCCATCGTCAATGTCTCCGGCTCGCGCCTTTTAATCATATCTGTTATTTATGTGTCTCCCCCCCCCCTTTCTTAATTTTCTCCTGAGCGAGTTGCCACGCCCCGCTCCCGTCGGCTCGTTTCATTTCCATTCGAGCGTCGCAGCGATTCGGCGGTCAGTTAGGCAGGCTGGCTGGCGAGGCGGCGCGGAAGCCCCACGCTACACTATGGCACTGCCTATGGCACTGCTGAGCCG